CATGCATGTGAGGAGGGGAGGGGCAGAGGGAGTGGGGGAGGACAGAGGATCTGAAGCAGGCTCTGTGCTGACAGCAGAGACCCTGATGTGGGGCTTGAACTCATGAACAGTGAAATCATGACCCAAGCGGAGGTCAGACGCTCAACTGACTGAGCCACCCAGGCGCCCCTGGGAGGGACTATTTCTGACTGAGCCCTGAGCCTGTTTTGAGATTTTGGGCTTGGCTGGCCATTGATAGCATTTTCTTTGGCTTCAGGTGGATGAAATCTACACAGTACCAGAGGTGGGGACTGTTGTTGGAGGAACACTTTCCAGGTGAATTGCTTTGATTTGCTTGCTGCCTACCCCATTCAGCCCTCACATACCCATATGCTGGGTCATGGCCTTAAGGACCCTGGAGTTGAACAGAGCCCTTCAAACTATGTGCTTGTTTCTGGATTGGGTTGTCATAATGAGAAGAGCTAGAAAAAGCTAGTCTGTTGGTTCACGAGGGAACAAGCAGTATTGCTGCTCACTGGGCATCTCCCGGCCCCTGAGGGAAAAATGTGGGTCTCGAGCCCCAGATGTATTCAACTGACTTCATTTGCATGTAGGAAAATAAAAGATCTCTTAAGACTCTTTTCAAAGCAGAGAGTGAAACCCAAGGGAATAATTTGCTCTTTCGGGGACCAGGTACTCAGTGTCAAAGCAGCAGGTATCTCTCTAGCCATCACTACTGGCCTTTCCAGGTATTAGCCTTCAGAGTCTGAACCTTGAACTGGGCCTCTCCCCTGCCTACATGCCAGAGTTTAGGGTCTTTCCCCCCCACCTGAGGGAGTCAGCCTTAGAAGGGAAAGAATGTTCTGGGTGACCCTCACAGAGAAGCAGGTTGGGGGGGGGGGGCCTAGGCTGATGCTGTGCCACCTGCCCTCTGGGCTACAGTGGGATTTGCCGTGAGGGAGACCAGCTGGTAGTGGGCCCCACGGACGATGGCTGCTTCCTGGAGCTGAGAGTATGCAGCATCCAACGCAACCGCTCTGCCTGTCGTGTGCTGCGAGCTGGTCAGGCTGCTACGTTGGCCCTCGGGGACTTTGACCGTGCACTTCTTCGCAAGGTGAGGTGGGAGGATGGGTTGCAGAGGGAACACAGAGAAGTGCCTGGGACACTGGCTGCTTGAATGAGAAGCACCTAAGATGCTTCAGAGGAACTCAAAGGAAACACAGTCTCTAACCCAAGAAGCTGGTTCCACAGACTGTTTGAAAAAGGCTTAGAATACCCAGGATACTTAAATATGGATCGTTGTCGTGCAACCTGAATATCCAGGACCTTACAAATACTAAACATTAGCAGAAGGATTAGAGGACGTGGGAGGGATAAGGAAGGGTTTGAAGTGGAGAGTTTTGAATATTGTCTGTTGAGGTCTTTGTGTTTGAAGTCCTAGAGGAAGAGGAAATTCAGGAGCTGGAAAGGGTGTGAGGGTGGTGGGGGAGGGAGAGACTAATGCAAGGTCTGCCCTTGGTCTGGGGGCTGTGCCTCCCCAGGGCATGGTGATGGTGAGCCCCGAGATGAATCCCACCATCTGCTCAGTGTTCGAGGCAGAGATAGTTCTACTGTTCCATGCCACCACGTTCCGGCGAGGCTTCCAGGTGACAGTACATGTGGGCAACGTACGTCAGACAGCAGTGGTGGAAAAGATCCATGCCAAGGTGAGAGGGACCCAGCCATGCTGTTTTTCCAGGGGAAAGTCATAATTCTTCTGCCTCCAGAAAGGAAGGAGACCTGGCCCCAGACTCCTAGAGAATTCCCTGATCCCGTAAAGGGGACAAAGCCCCACTCTGGGTGGGTAGAAGCCTGATAGGCCCCTGAGGGTGGAGAGCCAAGGCTGGTAGAGAATGGGATGGGAGGTACTGCCCAGGACCCGTGACGGCATATCTGCTGCAGGACAAGCTGCGGACAGGGGAGAAGGCAGTGGTACGTTTCCGCTTCCTGAAACACCCAGAGTACCTGAAGGTGGGCGCCAAGCTGCTGTTCCGGGAGGGTGTCACCAAGGGCATCGGCCATGTCACTGATGTGCAAGCCATTGCAGCAGGAGAGGCCCAGGCCAACATGGGCTTCTGAACTCCTCCAGGCAGGCACAGCTCTACTGCCGTCCCCACAATATATAAGGTGACTTTTGGCCATGCTGCCCCCGCTGTTGGCGGCTCTGTGTGTTAATAGGCTAGGGAGAGACCGGTGCTCTCTGCCCCTTGCTCCCTGCCACCTTTCTGGAGAGGTGCCAAGCTTGTGGCCAGGGATGGGCAGTCCTGAGGTTCTCAAGAAGGCAGGAGAATTCAGGGCAGTGCTCAGCAGCTTTGTGTCCACCTGGTTGGCTCATCAACCCTGGGAACTCCACGGCCTGTCTACCGGAGGGAGCTGACCACCACCACCTTGGCCCCACTGTCTGGACTGGGCATGATCTGCCGGTGTGGTCCCTGCACTTCAGGAATTGTCACAACAACTGGGGGTGGTCCTCAAAAGCACTCCTTTTTGTATACCTCTTCTCAAGGCCATGTAAGTTGCCCATCTCTACTTGACTGTGGACAAAAGACAGCTGCTCCCGGGTCTGAAGCTGGCCCAGCTGGCCCAGAGTCTGAAGAAATGGCACAGGGGCAGTGCTCCCACCTTGTGCTGAGACATGAGGTCTGTTCCTCAGCTTTGTCTCCCTTCCCTTCACTCAAGGGCCATTCTCCATTTTTCTGCTCATAGGCCCCACAGGTGCTATTTGTTGTGCTGGCCCAGGAGTGGGGCTGCCGAGCTGAGGCTTGGCATACCGAAGGTCAGCTGCATGTCAATCAGTCTTGTCCCTTCCTCTGCAGTGATTTGTTGGTTTTAATGCTGGATCAAACAGTGTTTTACTTTCCCAGACTAGTGACTGGGGACCTGACCCACAGCTCCCCATCCTGCCATCCTTTACCCCCTCCACCCTTCCTGCTCCCATGTTAAATCCTCCCTCTGTTGCAGGGAGCCTGGGGGAAAGGGAAAGATGTTGCCATATTTCCTACACTTTAGGGCATGGACTCCTTCCTTTCCCTTTGTTAATGTCCTGGGTTCCCCGGACTCAGGGATTTGTTGGTTCAGGTTTCTCTGCATATACATATATATATAAATATAAATATAAATATATACATACATATATATATTTAAATACACACATATATATTGTACAGAATAAAAATGTTTTATTGAATACGCTGTGCTTATGCTTAAGATACGGGCTCAGCTTCCAGAGCTAGATTCCTCTTCAGGATTAGAGACAAGTGAAACCCTAGCACCACTGAGCCCTGGATGGAGAAAAGAGCCCATCTGGTATCATTTACCATTCTCCCTTTCCTGTCCCTCCCATGCGATCAGCGTTCCAGTATTGTGACCTGGGTATTCTGGCTTATTTGCATTGCTCTTGAGCAAGCAGAATAGAAAGTGAAACCGCTGCCTTTTCAGCTGAGACAGGTAACCAGCCCGCACTTGAGGAGTTGGCCACTTGCTATGGTCACAGTGATGAGGAGCCCACTTCTGTGCCATGTCAGAGATGTGGAGATTAGCGTGTGAGCTACTTAAGAGTGGAATTTAAGAGTCACGTTAATCTGGCCCTCACGCTCTCCCTAGCAATGCAGAAAAGCTCGAAGTGAGGTTTACATAGCCTAAATTGGCTTCTTGGAACCACCTGGCCACACCTGAGTCGTTTCTTCGTGTTTCTGTGTTCAGAGTACCTGATGGTCATGTTTGATGGGACTGCATTTTGAGCAGTGATCCTTGCAAAAGAAATTTAATGATAAATGTGGCCCAATGTCCAGCGAGGCATTCTGTCTCCAGGGTATTAAAGTAAAAGCTTCCTTAACTATTCAAGCTCTGCTGCTTTTAAAAATACCACTGGCTTGACTGGCTACTATAAGTAGCCTGTGGTTGAAGAACTTCCTCCTGTGTCGGGGACTAAGAGCGGTTCGTTTCCGTCTGTACAGTTGCTGATAAACGGCTATGAGAAAAGCTTGTGTTCAGCAAAAAAGGTACTATAGCTTTCAACCAACACTGGCCTTTGCATGTCCGTCTCCTCGTACCTCCATGGGCTTATTGCCACTATGCTGGGGCAGGGTTGGCATTTCCAAGAAAATAGGTGTGCTGCTTGTATTGTTGTTACTGGTTACTCACTACTCCCGCCCATCTTGGCCTCTTATAAGTCCAGTGAAACTAAAGTTTCTACTCACAATTTCTCTTTCCAGTCAAGCAAAGTGTTAAAAATTTGTTTCACTTGATCTGTACAGTACCCAAAGGAGAGTATTGCTTCTTTAGGCTTTAAAAAACAAAACAAAACAAACTTTTCACTGGATTAAGAAAGGAAATTTTAGAAAATGATCTCAGTATTTAATGAGATATCTTCAGGAACCACTGAGCTATACCTTGCTACATCAATGGAATGTTTAGGAGGATAAAAAGATGTGTAAGGCAGCCCCTCACCCCCATCAGCTGTATGTACATTTTTACTGTTCCAGTTCTGGTAATCATCTAAAATTGCTTACTTCATATGTTTCATCCAATGAATATCAAGTACCTATTATGTGCAAGAATTCTTGCCTTCAGGAAACTATAAATCTAGCAGGGAAAGGGCCATGGTACACAGCATTCAACTACCTCAAAAGAAGATAGTTTTGAAGAGAGTTTCCTGCTAGACTCAGGGTTTTCAAATGCTCCCCACTTTCTTCAAACTAAATACAGACCCCTAATTTATAAACAAGCTTTAAAAGCAGTTGGTTTTTGTGTACATATGAGAGATGGGATGTGTACACCATTCTTCCTACCCACTTCCCCCAACACACCACCTAATTCAGCTCATCTTCGGTTGGGTTCTCTGTGTGACTCAAGGTTTCCTATATCAAAAAAGCTGACTTCCCACATATAAGAACAGAGATTAAGAATACAGTACTGTAAGGGCACCTGGGTGGCTCAGTTGGCTGAGCGTCTGACTCTTGATTTCGACTCAGGTCATGATACCAGGGTCGTGGGATTGAGTCCTGAGACAGGCTCCGTGCTGAGCATAAAGCCTGCTTAAGATACTCTCTCTCCCTCTATCCCCCCACCTCTACCCTGCTCGCGCACTCTCTAAAACCAAGAAAAAGAAAAGAAAATGGAATTATCAGCATGGACAAGTGCAGAAAGCTACGATAAGCCCTAAGCTAAATATTCAAACATCAAAAGGAAAGAGATGAACATGCCAGTGACCCTGAAAGCCAAGCACTACCTCACATTTGTACTTTAGGGTTTAAGGAAATGTCATGGCCCTCTACAAACCTGGCTTGCCATTGGCATCTTCTAGATCAGTAGTCCTCAAACACCCTGGAGAATCTTTAATATACAGATTCTGGGTCAGTACGGGTGAAGGTGAGGCTGAGACAATTTCTTAGAAGTTCCCTGATAATGCTGATGCTCCTGCTCCTCAAAATCACACTCAGACCAGCAAGATAATTTTTTTTTTAAGATTTTAGTTTTAAGTAATCTCTACACCCAGCATGGGCTCGAACTCACAACCCTGAGATCAGGAGTCACCATCTGAGCCATCTAGGTGCCCTAACTAGCAAGATCCCAGAGAGGATCTAGTTCTGATCATGACTTACCCGATCTAAACAGAGTTCCTGAACTAGTCCACAAACACTCTCATTCTACATTAGACCAAACACAAGAGATAGAAGGACCAGTGGCTAAAATTGTGGTCATAATAGGGTTTACTTGTATGAAATTCAGTATTTATTGAGTAGCTTCTGTGTATAGAGCCCTGCCCTAAACTAGTTACCACTTTAGGGTGTTAGGCCTTTACCTCACGTTCTCAAACCTCACATTTGGTCAAAGCGTTATCTAAACTGCCCCTGTCGCAGAGCTTGAGGAAAAATCTTTTGAAAACGTTTTTTCTCCATTACTTTTCTGTTCCAATCTTTAAGCTACAGACTTTAAGTACCTTGTCTTTGATTTCCAATAATCAGTAAGATATATCAGTTTTACCGATGAAAAAGAAAGTGCCTCTCGTGGGCTTCAAGGCCCACACATTTTTACCGACACTGCGTCCCTAAACTTTAATGATTAAAAACTCCGAGCAGTTGTATCTCTGCAAGATAAGTCCGTTTTTACATCTCTGTCAGCAATGGAATTAGAATCCATGCCCGTGAAGAGATGGGGGTTTTAACTCAGCATCTAACTGGATTATTTTTCTTGTATAAAAGTTACAGGTTTCCTTGAGAAGTAAACACGTTTCCATCTCCTAGTTTACAGGTAAAATATTAAAACCCTGCAGCAAGCCTGAGGGCAGCACTAGTGTGTTAACGGCTTGAAAAATGATTCCAATGTCTGCATGCCCTCAGGCCTAGGGCGTTTATTACTGGAGGCTGAAGGGCTCTTGGGATTTCTTTTGCCCTGAGGAGAACTGGCAGGAACAACCTGTGAGTTTGAGGAGTGGGACTGCATAAAGGATTTCTGTAACTCCAATGCAAAATGATAGTCCGTATGTTCAGGCATTTCCCATACAGGCACCAGAGAGCCACACTTCTCACAGGGCACTTGGTCCTCAGCTGCCACAGGACTTGGGGTAGTAGTTGACTTCTGAGCCACCTCCGGAGCAGACGTGGAAGTTACGGAAGCAAGACTGCTTGGGCTATTCTGGGCCAAATCCATCCCTGCAGGAGTTGTTTTAGAGGATCCCACCTTCAATACTGCTTGACAGATGGGGGTGCAATCTGGATATTCTGTTGGAAAAGAGTTTGTTAACTTTTTAGGGCTGGACTGGGGATTTTGTGGAGGGAAGACAACTGAAGGATTATTAAGCTGTTTCTGCTTTAGAAGTAGACTCTTCTGCTGAAAGAAGGGCTCGGTTCCTGTAGCATGACTGGTTTGGAAAGGTAACAAGGGCTTGGATGGTGAATTGCTCGTGGGGGCCTGGGGAGTGGCAGTAAGAGATGACACTGAAGCTTCTTTGACTTTCTGCTTTTCTGCAGCTTTTTGGAAGAATGATTCCAGAGAAGTGGCTGCTTTCTTAGTGGCTGTCCCTGCCAGGCCACATTCCTGGGTCTTAGCTTCTGAACTGGTAGCTGGCACCTTTGGCAGAGAACTTGGGTCACTGCTCAAGAAGGTGGTGATGTCTGTGCAAGATGAAGGGGCAGAGGCAGAGAATTTGGTAGCACAGAGGAAAAGCATTGTGAGGGGAGGAGACCTGTATAGAAAGTAAAGGAACAAGATTAGCACCAGGTCACAGATTCAGTTTGTAAATGACTGGGATTATGGTTCTAGGATTTATGGTTCTTAAATATTAGGGTATCAGATTAATACTGATTCAGTAGACCTGGGATAGGCACTCTTCACAAGTTCCTGGGTGATGCGGATATTGCTGGCCTACGACCACATCTTGAGAACTGCTGATTTGGTGAACATCTAACCAGGTCAGACATAGAAACTGGATCCTCTGACTGCTAGGTATTCATAAGGTATGTCATAACATATGTAAAAACAGCTATAATCCTGGGTTGAGGCAAGAAATTTTATTCAGGGCAATAAAAAAGCTTTAGAGTATTCAGACTGGAAAGTCCCTTAAAAAAATCCTCTTAGCCATTCCATTCTGTTTTTAAAGAGGACACCATCTAACCCTAATTTTGACAGACTTTCAACTCAAATTTCTAGAGCATGAAATCCCACAACTGGGATTACCTATTTTAGTCTCAGAAACATTTCAAGAAAATCCTGTCACAAAGTTACTCATTTTGTTTACTCAAATACATTTTCACATGAGTTGAATTTCAGAAGATAAAATGTGCTTTTATAAACAGATTAATCCCTCGACAAGGTAAGGAGTAAGTGCTGTTTTAAAATTATTATAACAATATATCACTATCCTCTGGTTTCATGCTCTGGACAGTCTTACAATCAGATCATTTTGATGCTTCCCTGTCAATAGGTTTCACACTCCTGGTAAGTGTTAGAGTCTGTTAATTTATAAGGTTTCATATGAACATAGTATCATAATTTATCATTTGGTTCAGTGAAACTGTTCAATATTTGAAAATAAACATATATATAAGGAAGTATAAATTAAATAAATTATTCCAAATAAAGAACAAAGGACTCCAGCTTTAGAGACCCCATCGTATTGTAGGTCTGCACAAACAACAGTAGTATCCACATGTTTAGATAAGCAATAACTTAGGTGTTCAATGAAACCTTTTTTTTTCTTTTCTTTCCTTTATTATTTTTTACAATCTCTAGTATAGATCTATAAGTAAACAACCAATTTATGTTTCCCACAAAATTATATTTCCGTTGTGAATTAGGAATACTTTTCTCAATGTAATAGGCTATGTTAAATAAATAAATAGAGGATCCCAATACTGAAAATCATTAATATCTGAACAATAAATGAACACGTTCCAATCATATATTTGGTTATTTTTCATGACCAAATGAAGTCAAATGTAATACGACATTTGGTTTTATACCAGCGGAGCTTGTAACTGAGTTGGGATGTTAGATTGAGATTATCAATGAACATAGGTCGCTTGCATTGTCAAGGAAGATGTTTTTAAGATAGAACAATTAAGTGCTGAAATTCCCAAGTTCAAGATCCTTGAAACTTGAGTTTCTATACTCCCACATGCCATTGCTTGTTCCTCCTGACTGCAGCAAAGGGGGGGATAGTACTGGATTATTCTGCCTCTGGAACCCACCCCTGAACTGAAATGCACCAAAGGCAGGCAAAGAAACTGTAGGCAAGCTGCCTTGTTTCTGGTGTGCTGTTTTCTTCCATTCCTCTCTGTGATAGGTCCCACTAGCCAGAGTCATCAAGAACCTACCCCAGCTGGAAAGCTATATACCCACTAATTTTAGAGAAAGACAGGGTACAAGTGTCTTCTGAGAAGACAAGCTGGAATTAAACTCACCAGCAAGTTTGGATTCCTGAAGTGTTACAGTTCCTGATGACAGCAAATGCGTCACGGCTCATCTTGTGAGCATCGTAGTGGGTAAGGGCACAGCAGCGGCGTAGGCTGCTGAGACGTCTGTCTCCTTGTACACGAATGCTCACAGCCAACTGTGTGGCCACCCTGTCATTCTGTGGGTATAAAAGGATTGAGACCAGAAAGTTACTGTGAGCATCTGGGTTCTATATATTGAATTGTTTGAGAGGAAATTAAAAGAACCAGGGTGACGAAATGGTTTGGAAATAGTCATGTTTAATTTTTTTTAATATTTTATGCTTGTTTCTTAGTGCAAGAAGTAATTGGAGCAGACAGAATTGAAGGATGAAATATTAGCATATCTAGGATATTTTGACAGGTGATGGGAACAGGACAGAATAAATGAAAATGGAAACTCTTTCCCTGAATGTTTTTTTGTGCTGTCTATGCAGGAAGATTATAACAAATACTTATTCTATTTTGTGACTGAGGGAAAGATTCATTTAAGTAATTGTCTGAGAGGAAGATCCAAGCTAGGATGTCAAGATTGAGTAGTAGGTCTATTATTTAATCTGCTGGTGATGCTCTTATACTTAAGCACAGAAGTTTCCATTAGCACCTCCTCCTTATACCCTGTCTATAGAAGATACAGTGTAGTGAGCTTGCCTCTAGAAAGCAAGATCATTGACCCAATTTTCAGTGAAGTCTAGACATCCAAATGAACACTATTGATGCAAGGCAAACTAAGAAATAAAGGTCAAGAGGCAGAAATATAAGAAGGCGAAAAGTCTACATAGGGATCCTCCAGAATCAGGAGATGGTGGTGAGAAGAAATACCCCTAAGGCAAACAAGCCAACAGCAGCAAATATTTTGTTGGGTAAAAATGTATTTTGTATTTTTGTACGTTTTATAAATACAGTTCATAAGAATTTATCTTCAGAGAATAGAAATAGGCAATTGGCTAAAACCATGTATCAACTACACCAAAGAGACATAGGAGAGAACAAAATAAAGTTCAGGCCCTCATGGGTCTTGTCTTGTAATAGGAACTGCAGAAAATAAACAAGTAGGCATGTAATAGAAATAAGAAATTTCTATTTTCTTTTTTTTTTAAGTTTATTTATTTTGAGAGAGAGACAGACTGAGTACAAGTGGGAGAGGGGCAGAGACGAGGGGGAGAGAGCAGGAATCCCAAGCAGCCTCTGCACCATCAGCACAGAGCCCACCGTGGGGCTTGAACTCACGAACTGTTGAGATCGTGACCTGAGCCGAAACCAAGAGTTGGATGCTGAGCCACCCAACGCCCCTGTATTTCTATGAGAAAAAGCAGAGTAAGGAAGAGAGTGATTAAAGCTGCTGATGTGATGGGGTAGTTGGGAAGGTCTCTTGAAGAAGGTGACTTGAATAAAGCAAGAGAGGAAATTTTAAGAATATATGAGGAAAGATTCTCCAGGCTGAAGGAATGGCAAGAACAAAACTGCTAACGTGGGAGTTTGGTGTGTTAAATAAAAGGGAAGGCTGCCAGTGGGGTAGAGGCTACAGCAGAGAAGGAAGGGGGACAGGACAGGAGATAAGGCCAGAGAAGTAGCCAGGGACGAAACCATTTTGGTCATGACAAAATAAAAATACAAAATTAAGTCTACACAAGACTTAAGTATGAAGGGAAACCACTAGAATACTTTAAACAGTGAAGTGGCAAGGATCTTCTATGTCCAGAATTACTTTTGACATAAAATCCTTTTAAGGTTAAAGAGAAAGAGATTTTCAGGGGTCCCCACTGTGTTGCATGAAGGCTTATAAAGAGAAATGAGAACGGAGCGACACCTAGTGGGCAAAGGCAAATTGGCCCATAACACAACTGGGATTGCCCACCCAAGAACAAACATTTCACCACCACAAGGGGCAAACGGGTAGTTTGGGATGATTTCTGACAGTATACAGTTGACCTGTAGGACCCCTAGATGCTGAAACATGAGAGAACACATCGAACAATACCATCAGGAAAGTGAAAAAACCCACAGAATGGGAGAAAATATTTGCAAAACAAATATCTGACAAGGGACTTACATAGAGTATAATATATATATATAGAGAATATATATATAATATATACATAGATAGAGAATTTTTAAAACTCAATAATGAAGAGACAACCACTTCAAAAATGGGCAAAGGATGGGGCGCCTGGGTGGCTCAGTCGGTTAAGCGGCCGACTTCGGCTCAGGTCATGATGAGCCCCGCATAGGGCTCTGTGCTGACAGCTCAGAGCCTGGAGCCTGTTTCAGATTCTGTGTCTCCCTCTCTCTGACCCTCCCCCGTTCATGCTTTGTCTCTCTTTGTCTCAAAAATAAAAACAAACGTTAAAAAAAAAAATTTTTTTTAAGAAAATGGACAAAGGATCTTGATAAATTTCTCCAAAGAAGATAAGAAAATGGCCAATAAGCACCTGAAAACCGCAGTGAGATACCACTTCACACCCACTAGTATGGCTAAAATAAAAAGACAGTAACAAAGATAGTAAAATTAATTTTACACTGCTAGGAGTGTAAGTCTGATAGCTCCTCAAAATGCTAAACATAGTTACCATGTGAACCAGCAATTCTAATCCTAGGCATTTACCCAAGAGAAATGAAACATGTCTACCCAAAAATCTATACATGCATGTTTACAGCAACATTGTTCATAACAGCCAAGAAGTAGGAACAACTCAAATTTTCACTCACTGATGAATAGGATAAACAAAATATATCCATATAATAGAATATTGTTCATTCATAAAAGGGAAAAAGATACTGATACATGTTACAGTATGAGTGAACCTTGAAAATATGTTAACCAAAAGATTTCAAGCAAGTCAAAAGGCCACATACTGCATTCTTCCACTTATATAAAATGTCCCGAAGAAGTGTATGAAGATAAAGCACAACAGCAGTTTCCTAGGGCTAAGTAACTGCTAATGGGTATAGATCTCTTTTCTGGGTGATGACATGTTCTCAAATTGATTGTGGAATAGCTGAACAACTCTGGAAAGTCCTAAAACCACTGAGCTGTGTACTGTAAATGGGTGAATTTTATGGTATGTAAAATATCAATAAAGCTATTTGATTTAAAGGAGAGGATAAAGAAACTAATCAGATGTCAAGTCTTTGACTTCATGCGCTGTCTCTAAAACTGCCAGCACTACTTTGTCACATGGACTGCAAGTTCCAATAATTTACAGTCTAATCCCTGAGTGTCTTATTTAATGGCTTTGTACTCTGATGAAGATCCACTGTATATTCAGGATTGTAGGAGGGGTTAAATAAGGAATATACAAAAGAGTAGAGGCAAATGGCAATGAGGGAGATGGGATACTCAGATCTTATGCTGAATTTTATGAAAGAAAAAAGATTTTTTTAAATTTTTTTTTTATTTTTGAGAGAGAGAGAGCAGGAGCAGGGCAGAGAGAGAGAGAGAGAGAGAGGGAGACACAGAATCTGAAGCAGGCTCCAGGCTCTGAGCTGTCAGCACAGAGCCTGATGCAGGGCTCAAACTCACAAACTGTGAGATCATGACCTGAGCTGAAGGCGGACGCTCACCCAACTGAGCCACACAGGAGCCCCAAAAGATTTCTTAAAACTTCCTAGTCTGGTATCTTTTTGTATCTTTGTTTCTACTCCTTAAGATACACAACAACCGGTATTTAAATCCCCAAACTCGGGGCGCCTGGGTGGCGCAGTCGGTTAAGCGTCCGACTTCAGCCAGGTCACGATCTCGCGGTCCGGGAGTTCGAGCCCCACGTCAGGCTCTGGGCTGATGGCTCGGAGCCTGGAGCCTGCTTCTGATTCTGTGTCTCCCTCTCTCTCTGCCCCTCCCCCGTTCATGCTCTGTCTCTCTCTGTCCCAAAAATAACTAAAAAACATTGATAAATAAATAAATAAATAAATAAATCCCCAAACTCACCCCAAGAATAAAGAAAGAAAGTATAAAGAAAGAAAGTCTTACATCATTTCGGTCCTTGGTTAGTCTCTCCTCTAGTTCCTGGGCTAATTGCAAAAGCCACCACTGTACCTAAAAAAGTGTTGAGACTTTAATCTTTCATTTAAAAATTCTAGGTTTATTATAGTACGAGATGGAGGATTTGTTCAATTCTCCCACAAATGTAAGTGTGCAATAATGTCTCCCTTATAACCAAGAGATCACAGATCATAGAAACCTTCAGTACTCTGACCTGCCTTAGCTCAAGATTCTCATTTTCTTTTCCTGCTGGAATGCCATCAGGTGAACTTCAGGCATGTTCCAGCTCTGAGAAAAAAAATAACACACAAGCTTGAGGCATAATATCCTAGGCCTTCCAAGTTATCATCTACCAAAAAAATGAGTAATTCCATTTCAAATTTCAGTCAGTTTCATCTTATTTCTTTTTGGATAGAAAAAATAAATCATGGAAAAAATAATAAGTTTAGTCCATTTTCAACACAAAAAAAGAACTTCATACTTTACAACAGAATGGCCCCGTCTAACTTACTAAACGTTCTGCAGTTACCCAAACCTACCCACTAACCCCCTCAAAAGAGGCAATGTTCTCTCAAGAATGCTTGCCTACCTGTTCCCGAGTAGCCAGAGCTGTCTTTCCTGGGAAGTTCTTGCTGCAGCCAATGGTTTTAGGTATTTTTCTGGGTCTAACTGGATCATGTTCAATCCCACGACACATGGCATATAGCCAAGATCTAATAAAAGCAGGAAAAAAAAGTTTAAGGTGAAAGCAAATGATAATTCTTGTTAAAATAAAATGCCTACATTGCACTACCTTTTTGTCTCCTTCATAGAAATGGAAAAATTTGTCCAGAATTAAGTATACTTCACCTCTGACAGAACCCCTGCCCTTCCCAATGAATGCTAGTGGAATATATTGCCAAGGAGAGGGATACTGGTTGTGCTTTTTAAAGCCAACTCATCATTTGTATTTTTGGAAAAGTGCTGAGCAAGCCACTGATTCATATCCCCAAGTTTTTTGGTATAAGTCTAAATACAAAGATTTTAAGGGAGGGGTTCCTGGGTGGCTCAGGTGGTTAAGTGTCTGACTTCTGCTTAGGCAGTGATCTTCCAGTTCATGGGTTTGAGCCCCACATTGGGCTCGCTGCTGTCAGTGCAGAGCCTGCCTTGGATCCTCTGTCTCCTTCTCTCTCTGCCCCTCCTCTCACACCTCAAGATAAACATTTAAAAAAAAAGGTTTTAAAGGAATTACCAGCATTTCAGCACACGGAAATGCTCTAAATATCCAAGCCTATCGACCTACTTAGGGAAATGAAAAACGACTCTAGAATGACAGGCCACAGTGACCTAACATTTCAAAGCAAAAGAACCAAAGAAATTATCTCGAGGAACAAATGTTAAAGATAAGTCTAAATTTTACTGGATGCTTTTGTCTGTGTTTGACTTTAGCATCTCCATACAGGTCATGATTGAAAAACATTAGGAATCACTTACCCATTCTTCTCCCCAAAATGACTCTGGAGCTGGGATTCAGTGAACTGGGTCAGTTCACCCATGTATTCCACCCCCAGGATTTCAATGACAGAGGCCCCTAGCTTTCCTCCAAGATTACGGCTAACAAGACAAAGAATTTATAGGTCACATCATAAATATCTGGTTATCAGCAGACATAAGAAATTTTGCTTCTGTAAGTAGCTCTCCACAGGGTTCAGGGACAATGAGAGCACGTACTGCTCCTGTAAACTATTAATTTCCTAGTATAAGACTAGATGATTCAAATTCTCTGGGAGTTAGGACCTGGGAAGATTAACAATAGCATAAACAAAAGGTTAAAGTCATTGATTAGTTATCAAAGTCAACTGTATAAAAATTTTTCAATTTTACAGGATCTACTGTCCCATTTAGGGATTAAAATTCCAACGCCAAGACAAATCTTTTTCATGACTAAAACCTTTTATATTTAAGAATATAATAAAAATTCTTAAGCTTTGCCTGTAAAGCTTCCTATAATATGTCTTCAACCTACCTTTTCAGTCCTATTTCTATCACTTATCTTCTCCAACATGGTCCAGTTAACCTGGTTTATGTCCCAGCTCACCACAAATACCTTATACTTTCCCCCCTTTCTGTTCAAAACATTATCAAAATCAGAATTGCTCTTCAATTATCATCTGGCAAAATCTCATGCAGTTTTCATAAATGTTTCTCAGATTTCTCTTCTCTGAACTCTGATGACTACCTGTATAACTCATTTAGCAAATATTCATGTACAGTCTTAATAGCACTTTCACTGTTCCTTTGAACTGTCTTGTCCCTTCATCTTGTCCCTTCAACAATAGTGTAAGCCCTTATCAAGGACACACAATTGGTATGCACAGCCTAGTTATTCATTTATTTGGATTTTTCTCTCATACCTACTTTGGGAGCAGTTTGGTAGCCCTGAACACCTCGGGATGATATTAGAAGAAAAAAAAAGAAGTAAAATTCCTATTGGTTTTGTTATTTAGTAACAGACTTGAACAAAAAGGCTAGAAGGAAATTAAAGACACAGCTAAAAATCAGTTCATTTTTTAAAATTCAGGATTAAGTAACTTCCATAGATAATCCAGAATTGAAGCCTCATTAGGAAAAAAGTCTGTGTTTTTCAAAATTTCCTGTGTTCTCTCTCTTCTACCTTCCTGGTTACCTACGTTTTCTTGCTCCAATCTCTCATAAGGGACAGAAGAAACCAGAGTGCTTTCACAAGTATATGAGTGACACTGAAGGTACTCCGTGAATACTTACATTTTGTAGATAGGCATTTGACTGAAGAGCTGTGGGACTGACCCATGTGAGACCAGGGTCTGGCTGTTGGGCTTGTTAAGTCCACAGGCCAGTTTTGCCAGGACCTGGAGCATGGAAAGCATTAAAACTTTGTAACTGTCAACCTCACCCACACAGAGAGCTGGTGAATATTAACATACACATAAAAACACAGGCACAGCTTAAGGGCTGTTACTAACGGTTTCCACATTAAAAACAAAAACAAAACCAGAAACTCAAGACATCTCTAAACCTTGGTGTCCCACAACATCCTCCGTGGAAACTATGACCCACTATCATCATCCTCATTGTTCTTTCCACATCTATTCTCGGTTTCCCTTTGGTCGTTTTTTTTTCCATTCCCATCAATTCCTTAAGGTTCTCCCACTTCAAGAGGGGAAAAAGCCCAGAGAAGCTGCAGAGGACACTTACATAAGGTGCATTTCTAGGCATGTGCATATGAAAATGCTGAAACAAACCTGTTTTACCCTACCACATTGATCTACATTTCTTTTAAAAAAAATTTTTTTTAATGTTTATTTATTTTTGAGAGAGAGAGAGACAGAGACAGACAGAGACAGAGCACAAGTGGGCGAGGGGCAGAGGGAGAGGGAGACAGAGAATCCGAAGCAGGCTCCAGGTTCCAAGCTGTAGCACAGAGCCAGATGCAGGACTCAAACCCACAAACCATGAGATCATGACCTGAGCCGAAGTCGGACGCTTAACCGACTGAGCCACCCATGTGTCCCTGATTTACATTTCTTGATTAATGGTTAATCCATTTTGAGTGCTAGATTTAACACAGATTACCATAATTCAAGTATCTGTGATAGAGATCTCAAAATCATCCTCCAATAGCAAACATCTTCTACTAGAAACAAGGCTTCAAAATGGGGGGGGGAAAAAAACAACAAAACAAACCCAAACCTTAAGTCCTTGAGAACTCTTTTCAAAGAATATGCTTCAGTGGTATCAGTTCACAAATTATAATTGGTAGGAAAAGTATAATATCATCCTTTAAATTCACTGGAGAGATTCTCTAGAACTTCTACTAGGCAACATTTAGTCTTGTTCAAATTACTACAATGGGACCTTTGTTTCCCCTCCCTTCACTCAACCAGAAGAAACCTCTAAAACTCTGTGGGATAGTTTGGCAACTTTCCTCTTCTTGGAGGAAGGGGGAAAAGGTAGTAACCAGGGATAATCAGCCACTGCCCAATTATTGAGCCTCGTCAGAAGGGGACAAAGATTCCAGACCCTCACAGCACTTTAAAAAGAAAACCAGTTATTCTGCCCCTATATTATTGACAATTGTCTATTCTCTAAGTCAAAATAGGGGTCCAAACTAATAAAATTTTACTATTCCATCTCTCTTATTGTTCTCATTAGAAAGGAGGAAATAGGCAAAAGCAGAAAATACTCAGGCAATTCCACAAAGGAAATGAGATAATTCAGGGATATTCAGCAAGTGAAAAGAAATAGGTTCACATATAAAATGCAAAGACTAACCTCCTCCTTTCCACAGATAGTTCAGTCATTAAGGAAATCTTTTGGATACAACTGTATAAGCATTTTCTGCAAACTTTTCAGCCTGCTTCTTAGGAAAGCGCATGTTTAATGACATTGCCCTTGTTAAGGAATTACGAACGCATTTATTTGGTCCTCAAAATGAATTTTAAATAGAAGCCCATTTCAAAATGTACACGTAATGATTTAAATGTCCCAGTCATATCCATCCTTGCTGTATTTAACTGCAGATATCTATGTTTCGCCTTGAAACCTATAACTAGCCTTCACCTTATTGTGTGAAATTCCAGCTGAACACTGAAAGCCCGTCTCCCTCTCTATGGCTGCTCTGATTTCCTCCACAATCACTGCTCCAACAGTGAGCTGCAGGTCCGGAGAGGTGGTGTTACCAGTCTGAAGAGAATCAAGCCATTGAAATAAGCCTTGTTTTCGCACCTCCTCTGAAAAATTGAAAGGTTGTATTTAGACATTTTTTTTTTTAGAGTCAGGACTTTATTTGTGTTATCTAATAGAAAAATGCTTCAATTTCAGGGTACTTTAAGAATGTACATTTTCACACACACACACAAAAAAAATGGCAGTCATTTACAAGATTTCTCAGTACTTAAGAGATCAATTTCTCCTTCCTATCAATTCCAGCAACCTTAGCTTCAGCATAGGCTGAACCTTATAGTTCTAATATGCAACACATATTGTATATTCATATTGTCTTTCATGATCATTGATTTAAAAGTACATCTGTTTTCTCTCTCTGGTTTTCTGGAATTTTCTTCCTCCAACTTTCCCTTGCACACTGCCAAGAATCCTGTTACTTAATTAGAAAATATTCAGAATTAACTCACACTTTAAAATAAATGTATTTATATATTTTTGGAGACTGGTTCTCCTGATGAGTAGCTAAAATCCAATCAGAAACACTAGTCTTATTCTTCTGATAAGCTATTGAAATTAGATATAGCTTTGGACTCAGGGCCTTGAAAATATCTTACTATCCAATTTTGAACTAGTCAGTTTTGAGAAAAGCCTAAAAAATGATTATATATAGCAAGGGAGGTAGGTATATAGAAAATGCAGACATGCTGGTTTATTTATTTACTTATTTAAAAAATTGTTTTAGGGGCGCCTGGGTGGCGCAGTCGGTTAAGCGTCCGACTTCAGCCAGGTCACGATCTCGCGGTCCGTGAGTTCGAGCCCCGCGTCAGGCTCTGGGCTGATGGCTCGGAGCCTGGAGCCTGTTTCCGATTCTGTGTCTCCCTCTCTCTCTGCCCCTCCCCCGTTCATGCTCTGTCTCTC